TGAGGAAAATAGATTCCTCATATTTAGAGTTATGCACTGAAATGTTTACAAATCAAATAAGACACGTTAAGATATCCACATATGATTTTTGTACTTTTTTGATTTCTGATATTTGCTTGAAAATAATCTGGAGGACGGGGAGGGGAGAGGATATGTATGAAATGTGATTGGCCATGAGTCTTTAATGGTTGCAGTTGGGAGATGGATATTTGGAGGTTCCTTATGTTATCCTCTCTTGTGCTTTCGTTCTCAAAATGCGGTCCCTTACCAGCAGTGTTCGCATCATCAGGGAACTTGTTTGATAGGCAAACTCAGCCGGCATGGTGGCTCACGCCTGTAATCCCAGCACTTTGGGAGGCCCAAGCTGGTGGATCACCTGAGGTCAGGAGCTCAAGACCAGCCTGACCAACATGGAGAAACCCCATCTCTACTGAAAATACAAAAGTAGCCGGGCGTGGTGGTGACTGCCTGTAATTCCAGCTACTCGGGAGGCTGAGGCAGGAGAATCCCTTGAACCCGGGTGGCAGAGGTTGCAGTGAGCCGAGATCGCGTCATTGCACTCAAGCCTGGGCAGCAAGAGTGAAACTCCGTCAAAGAAAGAAAAAAAAAGACAAAAGAAAAGAAAAATGAAAAGAAAAGAAAAGAGAAAAAGCAAAGCCAACCAAACTCTGGGTCCCACCCCAGACCTTGTTATCTGAGAATACAGATATGGAGCTCCGAAATCTTTGTTTTATCAAGCCCTCTGGGGCTTGATAATCAAGCTAGTGTTTTAGGACCACTGCTCTAATGCACCATATACAAAAAAATTAATACACCATAGCTAAGTTACATTTACTATGGGAGAGGAAAGCTGGTTTGACATTAGCAAAGCTGTAACTGGAAGGGGACCCGAGAGAGGTTTATGTATTGCTCATATATTTTGTTGTTTGTTCTAGGTACTAATTGCATGCGTATATTTAATTTTTGAAAACTCACTAAGAGGCCTGGCTTGGTGGCTCACACCTGTAATCTCTGCACTTTTGTCTGGCGGACTGCTTGAGCCCAGGAGTTCACGATGGCCTGGGCAACATGGCGAAACCCCCCGTCTCTACCAAATATACGAAAATTAGCTGGGGATGGTGGCGTGTGCTTGTAGTCCCAGGTACTTGAGAGGCCCAGGCAGGAGGATTGCTTGAGCCCAGGAGGTGGAGGTTGCAGTGAGCCAAGATCACCGACACTGCACTTCAGCAGCCTGAGTGACAGAGTGAGGGGCTGCTTTTTTGTTTCATCTTTGTTTACAAATCAAATAAAGAAAGCAACCCAAAGAATGAAGGAAGGAAGGAAGGAGAAAGAGAGAGAGAGAGAGAGAGAGAGAGAGAGAGAGAGAGAGAGAGAAAGGGAGAAAGGATAAGAAAGAGAGAAAGAAAGGAAAAGAAAGAAAGAGAAAACTCATTAAGATATACATTTATGATTTTTTAACCGTTTGGATTATAAGATAAACTTTGCTGAAGGTTTTGGAAAAAACCTGGAAGTTACTTAGGCCAGGTACTCTAGAGATAGTGGATTCTCCCATAACTGATCCACAGATTCAGTGAAAATGCAATCCAAATCTGTTACAACCGAATTTTTGGGAAACTTGAAATTGCATGCTAATTTATGAAGAAGGACAAAAGGCGTAAGACATGCGGGGGTGGGGGTGGCGTGGTGTAGGGAGACAGGAAGAAGAAAGGAAGGAAGGAAGGAGGAAAGGGAAGAAAGGGAAGAAAGGAAGGGAAGGGAAAGGAAGGGAAGGGAAGGGAAGGGAAAGGAAAGAAAAGGAAATGAAAGGAAAAGGTAAGGAAAACACAAGGAAACAATACTAATATGGAAATGCTGGCAGCATTCCTTTTAAAATCCGGAACAACCCAAAGAAGCCCAATTTTGCTGTCGCTATTAGATCTTGTACTAGATTTCCTAGCCAGCGCAGTTAAAACACAACCAAACAACCAACCAAAAAACAAAAATCGCAAACAAAAAAACCCCATAACTTCAATTCTATTTCTACTATGCATAAACTCACAGATAATCCCAGAACGCCTACTACAGAGTTTAGCATGTTGACTGACTTTAAGATCAAGTCACGTTTTTAAAAGTTAAAGTCGTTTCTGTAAATTAGATCCAAATAGAAATTGTCCTTTTAAACAGACATCAAGTGCAAGCACAGCAACGATCTACAGTATCTTGGAATAAATACAATGAATGATGTGCAAGATCTAAATATACAAAAGATAAAACTAAAAACTGAACTGAAAGATTAAAACATTAAGGGCCCACGTAAGTGGAGACATCCCAAGTTGGTGAACAGGAAGGCTGAGTATTCTGCAGATAGTGGATTCTCCCCTAACTGATCCACAGATTCAGTGAAAATGCAATCCAAATCTGTTACAACTGAGTCTGGGGAGACTTGACATTGCACACTAATTCATGCGGAGGGACAAAAAGGCAAAGAATAGCAAAGACGTGTTTGGAGATGATGAACACCATGCAGGAACTTGCCCTAGCCGATGTCAAGATGTATCATGAAGTGAGAAAATTTAGGACAATTTAGTAGTGGCACAGGAATAGACACATTTATCTGTGGAACATTACAGGGAGTTCATAAACAGAGACAAATACGGACGAAAGTGTTTCCAAGCATCGTTCCCTGGGGGTTGCAAAGTCACCACTGATTGGGAATCCGCGGCACAGAAATATGGATCGATCTTTAATCACATGCTGAATTTTTAAAAGGTAAATTACAAAATACCAAGTACGTGAGTTAAAAATGCATGCACACAAAATATTTCACACCCAAAGGGAGACCAATCTGGGAAACAAGCCTTGGGGAGTATAAAGCTCAACGATCACTTCAGGATTTCTTGACTGACCTAGTACAGGGAGCAGGAGAAGCTACATGGAGGTGAAGGGGGCGTGACCTCAGAACGTGAGCCTCAAGAGATCTCGAGGTTCATTGGTCGCCAGCCACAGCGGCGGGAGGTTGAAGGCAGCGCAAGAGCTCACTGGCCTTTGTGGCAAGGGCGGGAAGGGAAGCAGAAGCTGGATCTTCCCTCAGACCCTCTGACTGGTTCTGACTTGCTGGAGGCTGGGGCAACCACAGGTTGACATGAGAATTAGGCCCTCGTTCTCCACGCCTCTTATTTCCTCCCACCCTCCTGAGCCAGATTCCCAACTCTGCTACCTTCCCCTCTCTGCTACCTCAGCAGGGAACTCCCGTCTGCTCCTGATGTCCCATCGCGCCCTCAGCTGTCCCGGAATCCCTTTTGGGAGGACCCCTTGCTCCAGCCCCCTGAGCCCCGGCCTTTGGCCAGTGAGGCAGGGCTCATGGGACTACTTTTGATTCAGAGGTCCGGGAGGGAGTGGATGATTGGGCTTCCTGAGGAAGTGGTGCACTCCAGGGTGGTGGGACTGTGTGTGTGGTGTGGGGTGGGGTGGGGGTGGGGGGAGATGGTGTGCTCCAGAAAAATTGTTGAAGTGTGGAGAGGAATATGGAAGAGTTGGGGGAGACTGTGGAGGGAATGTGTGGGTTTGCATGAAAGCAGAAAAGGTGTGTCAGTCCAAGAGAAACACTACTGCACTGAGGAGTTTCCTATTGGCTAGATCAGAACCTGAAACTTCATAGGAGGCTCAACAGGTACCTGCTGAATGAAGAATCAAGAGAATCGGCCGGGCCCGGTGGCTCATGCCTGTAATCCCAGCACCTTGGGAGGCCGAGGCGGGTGGATCAGCCTGGCCAACATGGTGAAACCCCGTCTCTATTAAAAATTACAAAAAATTAGCCAGGCGTGGTGGCAGGCACCTGTAATCCCAGCTACTCGGGAGGATGAGGCAGGAGGATCACTTGAACCCGGGAGGCAGAGGTTGCAGTGAGCCGAGATCACGCCATTGCACTCCAGCCTGGGTAACAAGAGCGAAACTCCGTCTCAAAAGAAAAAAGAAAAAAAAAAAAAAAAGAAGAATCAAGGGGATGCATGAAGGGATGAATGAAATTAATAATTGAAAGAGGGCCAGGGATCCAGGAGAACAATACGATTTCATGGGATACAAGAGGGAAATCAGTTCAAAGGGGGAGCAAGGGAATAATTAAGTGTAAGGTGGGGTACAAGAAAAAAAATCAGCATGAATCAGCACGAAATGTGAGGGGAAAATTGAATATAGGGCATAGAAGAGACTGACAATGGAATTGAGTGCTGGGGGCACAAAATCCTGTGTGGGGAGTGAATGAATGCAGGAGGTTCGGAAGAGAATTGTTGAAGTGGATGCCAGGAATAATACCTGGGTTTGGCAGAGTGCAGGATGATACACAAGAAGGGGGTGTAGTAATGGTGGAAGAGGGCACGGGAGTGCATGTACATGCCTGAAAGTGGGGTCTGTGGTGAAGTGATGGTAAGCAAGGAGAATAATGACTGCATTGAATGGGTATGGGATCCTTGCCAAGAGTTTCTCGGGAAGGGGCTATGTGTGACTGGGGCTTCTGTGAAGGAGGCAACATGAACAAGGAGGTCGCAGTGAAGGCTGGTGAAAACCGTGGGAGAAGAAGGGGAGGGAAGGCAATCTGATTCCAGCGGTGAGAAGGATGGAGAAGGAGCATTCAGCCACCTCAGATAGGGTTTTCCAAGGGCAGAGGAAGTACGCTGGGGGTAGGGGATCATGTGGCCATTCTGACCTCCACTCCTGACCCTAGAAGCATGGATCCCAAATAAATACCTGCTGCACCCTGCTGCCCCTCTGACCCTGAATGCACAGCGTGAGACTGGAGCCCCATGGGGGACTCAGCTTGGCCCCAGAAGAGCTATAGGTTGCTGTGACCGCTGCCACGACCATGGTATTACTGCCCAAATCAGCGGCCACAAGCATTTCTGCCTCTTCCAGGCCTGCGAGTGTCACAATTGTGCCCTCTTCTCATGAGTATGGTGTCTGAGATGGGGAGGGCCCAGACCTTCTCTAAATGGGACTAACCTTAGCCCCGCAATCCTTTACTTCAGAGAACACCTCAGGGTCTTGCCTGCTGTGAGTGCCTTGAAGAGGGAGCAGCGGGCACGGCCAAAGAGACACCTGGCTCAAGGACCAATAAGGAGTATGGCTGCCCCTCCCAAAGCTCCCATCCGTGTCAGGAATTTGACCATCAGAGCAGGAGTCCTCAGTGAGTGTTTCTGGCCAGGGAGGGAGCCAGAGTTTGGGTGGAGGAAGCATGAGTAGTTCTGTCACCAGTCCTGTCACAGAATTGCAGTGTGACCTGGGGCAAGTTGCTCCCCGGACCTTAGTTTGCCCAGGTGCAAAATGTCATCAATGTTATCTACCGAGTGTTTGCAGGAAGGAGAGAGCTGGGGGACAAGGGAACTGAAGAGCTCCTTGGTGAGATGAGACCTGAGACTGGATGTGGGGTGAAGTGGGGTGGGGTTGGGGGAAAGACTCATCAAAGCTGTTCCTGGTCTTTCACAGCTGGGAGGGAGAACAACATGCTGCAGCCCGAGACCCACATCTTCACAGCCTCCGAGGAGGTAAGGAGAGTCGGTGACCAGTCGGGCAGGCTCCCACCCAGCCACTGTCCAGACATCTTTCACTGTGTCCCAAGGATATGGGTTTCATCTCCAATCCTATCACCAGCTCACCATGTGACCTTGGGAAAAATCACTTCTCCTCCCTGGGCCTCAATTTCCCCAGTTGCAAAATGAAAGGTAAGACTGGCTGGTCTTCAAGGTCTTCAGAGCTCTGATATTCTAGGCTCCTATCCTCATCCCAAAAGATGTCCACACCTCTTCTCTCCATGGCCGGCCTGGTACCTGACTGCAACCTGTGCTCTCTGCCCCTGCAGGGGAGCTCCCAAGGGGCTCTGCTGCTTGGCCAGGCCCCAGAATCTTTGTCTCTGCCTCGTACTCCAGTGACCTTGGAGCAGCAACTGGTTTCTCCTTCTGGAGATCCCCACAGGCCCCCTGCCCTGCCCAGCATGTGAGTAGAGTGAGGACCATGGAGCAGGTTGTGTCTTGTGTGCCTAACCTTGTGCTTGATGCCATGGGAGATGGAAGGGGAAGAGCGGGAGGAGGAGGAGGAGGAGGAAGTGGAGGGGGGGAGGAGTAAGAGGAGGAGGAGGAGGAGGAGGAAGAGAAGGAGGAGGAGAAGAAGGAGGAGGACAAGGCAGCATGTAATACTAACGGGCGAGGACAGGGCTCTCCTAGCTTTGCTATTTTCTATTTGTGAGACTTTGGACAAGTGACTTTATGTGTCTGAACCTCCATTTCCCTATGGATATACTGAGGACAATATTCTATACCCATAGCATTGAAAAGAGAACTGGCACAAGGCCTGCCACATAATAGGGCTTCAACAAATGGGGGTTGTTATTCCACATGAAACAGGTGGATGGGATAGAAGGTCCTGCTGAAAGGTGGGGTCCACGCTGGTGAGGGCCACAGAGGCCCAGGGCAAAGTCCAGAGGCCATTAGAGAAAGCTTCCTGGAGACGAGCCATGCTTGTCCTTCAAGACCCATGGGGACTGGGCAATATGGAAGTGAGAACCAGTCCCTGAACAGGGACGGTAATCACATCTCTCCAAGTGCTTTGCAAATTAAAACACGGACACCTGTAATTTCCCATGATTTTCACCATTGCTCTGGGAAGGAAAGAGCTGGTAGGAATAAGCGTCCCTGTCAGGAAAAAGAGGTATGGAAAAGAAACCTGGCCAAGCAGGAGAAGGGACTTGCCCCAGCCGCAATGACTAATGGTCCAGCAGGCATTGGGATTCACACATCCAGATATTGCAAAATCCTGCCCCTCTTTCTGTCTACTGATAGTATGTGTCCACCAGTGGATTTAATCCCCTGGCCTCTCCTTTCCTTGTTTCTAGATGCTCAACTCTGATCCTCCAGCCCTGTGCCACCCTTGACCCTCTTCTACTGCAGCCACAGGTCCTGGGAAAGCAGTGGGGTCCAGAACCCTGGGAGGGATGGAGTTTAGTGGATGGGAAGAGCAGAAGGCCTTGGTGGGGGTGGGGGAGGAGGTTGAGGGAACACGGGGCTGAAGGGGCACTTGTCGTATTGGGAAGAGGTGTAGTTTCCCAGTGCCTATTCTCTCACGCACTTTCCTTTGCAGGTCCCCAAAGTCTCTGACCAGGCTTTGGTTTCTGCCCACTCAGAGTGGCAGCGGAAACTGGAGGCCGCTGAGGCTCTGCTGACTCTGAGAAACTCTGCCCAGGCCCCTCCTGACTCCATCTCCCTGCACCAGCCTTGCAACCCACCAGGTAGCCTGCTCCCTGAAAGGAGAACACAGGGTGGGAATAGCTGGGGAATGGGGGTCGTTGTGGTAAGCAGGTTCTAGCTGAAAAATCAGAGTCAGTAAGTTGAATCTCCTTGGGGCCAGGCACCCAAGCTCCTCAGTATGACTCCCGAGATGGTAGTTGAGCGCTGTTTACTGAATCTTCGGTTTATCGCGCTTTGTGCGCAACAGCAAGCGTTCAGTGCCCTGATGTCAAGAAAGAAGGAAGTTCAGGCCCTGAGAGTGGCAGGGACTTGCCCTCTCTGATATGCATGCAGCATATCAAGTGGAAGAACCGGCCCTCTTGACTTTCAGCCCAGGGTCTATGCTCAGCCCCATGTGGCCTACTGTGGTCTGGGGAGGACATACAGAGGTGATAAAGGGCTTGGTCTGGAAGGAGGTCTGGTCTCTGCCTTCCGAGAGCATCCAGTCTAGAAGTGGAGCCTGGATGCCCTGGCAAGCTGTGTTTTGTGGTCAAATTTTAACGATGTGCCCAGAGAAGAGGGGCTGGAGGAGCTCCGAGGGGGATAAACAACTGGGGAGGCTGGGAGGGAAGGCTAGGCATTCCCAGATCAAAATGGTGAATGGAGCATGGTGTGTCAGTGAAGAAACACCCCTGGAGGGACTGCTGGAACAGAAAGGGATGAGGCTGGAGAGGGTACCAATCACAGAGGTCTGACAGGTCAGGCTTAGGAGGCTGGACCAGCAACTGTGGGTAGTGAGGAGCCAGGGAACGTTTTCTGAGCTAGGGAGAAGAATTTCACAGACCCCGAGCTTGACAAAAAGACTTGTGGTGGCTTTGATGGAAGGACTGGGGGAGGCGAGATGGGAGATGGGGAAATCAGAGAGGAAGAGGTCTATGCAACAGGCCAGGTGACAAATCTTTGGTTGGGCGGGACACATAAAACGAGTAGATCTGGAAGGGGATGTGGATGTGACCTGGCTCTGGCCCCTTCCTTTCTGTCCACAGCTCCTGCTGGAGATAAAGGATTCCAGCCTCCCAGCCCCTCTCTCCGCCCCAGGCCAGCCAGCTCCATCTCGCTGCCTATTGGACATCTGGGATGCATCTCCCTCTTGAGCTAGGAACCCAGGGGAGGAGGCCTCAACAGAGCACTGCCTATTTAGTATCCAGTTTCTGAATGTGCAAAATAGTTAACGTCCAAAACGCTTAACATCTTTTTTTTTTTTTTTTTTTTTTTTTTTTTTTTTTTTTAAGCCTTCAGGTGTTTTATAAGCTTTTTATTATATGGGGCAATTCCTTGACTGAAGGTGGATATTCTTGTACCTCTATCCCTCACTCTTTTGGATGCCGGGGCCTTTTTCTGTTTCGTAAAGACAGGATTGTGCAATCTAAGTTGATCAGTCTCTCAGTGGGATTCTGTGTGGGTTCATATGCCAGAGTTTTTATTCGTCTTGTGATTGCTGACATACATGTGCACTCATGTGCGTACCCATGCTTGTGGAAACATGAAGATGTTTTCACTTTGTGTCTAGGTTTATGTACGTGAACAAATAATAAACCCTTGTTGTTATAAGGCACTGTGATATACGGGTTGTTTGTTACCACAGTATAACCCAGACTATCCCGACTCTAACCGATTTGTTCAATTCATGTTTCCAAGTGAGAATCACCTTATCCGATAACTGAGATTTCCTAACATGGCTAGATAAGAAAATGGTAGAGGAAAAAGAGTAAGGTATTTATTCATTGAGCAATTAAGTACCTACCCTCTGCCTGGCATAGACTGTTTCCAGTTGCCCAGAGGGTCATAAGTGGCAATGTCTGTAGGATCAAGCAGATCATGTAAATGAGTAGAGCAGGCCCGATGGGCTCTGGCCAAACTGACAGTGTGTGCTCTACGTAAGCGGGCAGCTGCTACTTGGCTCTAGGCAATTGTTGCCATGCAGGGATAGCGACTCATGGTGGCCAAATTGGCTGGGTTTTCAAGAGAAGATGGAATTCTAGATTTCTATATAAAATCACTCAACTTGTAAGCATTGGCTCGGGTTTCTTCTTTAAGCCCTATATCTGGGCCAAACCAAACTTCCATGAAGGACAGTTTTGCCCAATGGAAATGCCGGTTTTATTCTAGACCAATGTGAATTTTACAGTGGAGGAATCTGAGGCCACTCAGGACAAGAAGAATCAAACAGGGGAAATGAATTAGACTCAGACCCTATTTTTGAAGGACCCATGAAATATGAGGAAGCACCACTACCTTTTATTTATTTTGTGCTCACTGCACTAAGCACATACAGCCTCACGGCAACTTTGCAAGTTAAGCATTATTATTGCCATTTTGCCGATGAGGAAACACACTCAAAGAATGACAGTGACTTGCAAAAGTGGTTTGGGGGAAATTTTTAGCCAAAGATCAGCGAACTCTCCCTTGTCTTTACCAGGCCCTGAATCAGCTAATAGTTCGATTTTTTAATAAAGCATTGAATAAAAGGCTCAAAACTCAAAGCAACAAACATCAGTCAGAGGGTTTTTCCAAAATAGTCCCTTTATTTCTTACTCAAGGTAACAATATGTAGTAATCGATCAGCTCTTTATTACCTGCAGTGGTTTCCCAGTCCTCTGCTGATATTCTAAACGAATGAAGACCTGGAGACCCCCACCAGGCAGAAAGAAAGCTCAACTGGACATGCCTCGATATGGGCCCTTTTCCTTGCTATTAGCTCCCTCCTTTCTTCCCTCCCAGTACTTTACCCAAGACAATTGATTCGGATGACATCCAGTTACAACTTGTCCTTTCTTTTTTGAGACCCCGAGAAGTCAGGATTCTTATATTCTTGATCTGATGGCAGAGAAACAAACGTGCAAAGTCACTCAGACTTGGAGCAAGACTAGACTGAAGTCCATCTCATACCTTCCTTCCTTCCCTGATTTGTTACTCGAACAAATGATCCCCAAGCCCCTCCTTTCGTAGTGATGGATGAACAAGTCCACATATTTCTGGAGGAATGAAGCGGTGGTACCTGGAAGAGGACTAAGATCCTGCTATGAAATTGTGTCCTAGGCACACCACAGTCCCACAGTTGACTTGGGTAAAAGAGGAGGCATATTTTGGTTAAAGGATGTGGCATGAGAAGAGGGAGGAAAAACAGAAATAAAGTGATGGGCATCAGGGGAAGGAGTGAGGCCCTTTTCCCTGTGCCCTTTTATTTTCCTGATGCCCCCCCTCCGCCCATACACACACAGACTTTTTCAAAAGTCTCATGACGGTGTATTTTTGGCATCTAAGGACATCTTTGTGAATGTTAAATATCAAACCTTTTTCATGTTCTTCCCTTTGCTGTGTACTACCCCAGTTCATAGATTTAAAACATTACTGTATAGAGCACTGTGAGTTATGTCTTGACTCGTGTATGTCACGTAACAGCATTGGTTAGATCTGAGCATACCCATCACATCAGAGCTTCTGTAGAGTGGATCAATTTCAAACATTAGTGTGCAGGTACAGGTTTAGCAACTGGCTCTCAGGGGGAAGGAAGGTTGGGGGAAATGCCCTGGGTTGTTGCACTTGCTGAATGCAAGATATCAAAGTGATATCAGTGAATGCAGAGTTGGGAAGAGATATATTTTTACCATTCGGATACCATAAATGTAAATAACCATGAGAACACAGATAACAGTACAAAGTAGAAAAATAATTAGGGATTGATTTTTTTTTAGCATATATTATGTTTGTTTTCAATATAATTGATCTGATTGTTAGTTTATATAATGTAGTTTTTAATAATGGCTGTATTTAACAACTGGCTCACGAAATTCTTGAAAATCTTATGGTTGGCTCTGATGTTCCGGTAAGAGCCAGCTCCAGCACTCTGCCACTTTCAACCCTTGCCCAGAAAGACGGCTTTTCCAAAGTAGGTTCCACTAACACTGCAGGGCCATACAGGGCTGCTACTGCTGGTTTCTGGCCAAGAACAGCCTAAAATGTGTGGGAAAGTGCTATTTTTAAAGTTAAAAATGGAAAGATCTGGGACAGATATTGAGCGGAATTCCCATTTATGTGGGGATGTGCATTCTTGGAGGGGGCCAAAGTCGGGTAGAGGTGAGTGGTAGGGATCTCAGAATTAGCAAAACCCATCCATACAGGGTTATATTCAACAGATTTCTCTTTTCTATTTTGTCACAGATTTCTTAAAGGCTAAAGAAACGGGGGCAACTGGTATTGCCTGGCCATTGGATCTGTATCTCTCTCTCTCTCTTTAGAGAGACTGACGTTCACTACACTCCCTCCTCCTGCTTAGATAAATGCTGCATAAGCTATTAACACATAAACTTCTCCACCTTGCCTTTTTAAAAAGCTTAAAAACATATCCTTGAGGCCACTTGATCGCCAAGCTGAGAACAGTGTTATTTCAGTGAATGGATGTACTGACCACACTATTATGCATCTTGTGAAGCATTTAAAGTCACACATATAAGAAAAGTTTCTATAAATGCCACTTGTTCCCCATGTTGAGAACTGTGTTATTTCAGTGAGTAGATGCGGTAGCTACAATGTAATGCATGTACTGAAGTGGTTAAAGACACATGAATAAACAAAGTTACTAAAAGTGAAAAAGGAGAAATCCTTGAGGCCGGCGTGGTGGCTCACGCCTGTAATCCCAACATTTTGGGAGGCCGAGGCAGGTGGATCACTTGAGGTCAGGAGTTTGAGACCAGTCTGGCCAACATGGTTTAACACCCTGTCTCTACTAAAAATACAAAAATTAGTCAGGCGTGGTAGTGGGCGCCTGTAATCCCAGCTACTCAGGAGGCTGAGGCAGGAGAATTGCTCGAACCTGGGAGGCGGAGGCCGCAGCGAGCTAAGATCGCATCACTGCTCTCCAGCCTGGGCAACAGAGCGAGACTCCACCTCAGAAAATAAAGAAATCCTTGGGATCACTCCACAATCCTCCCTGGAGACATCCCTCACTCCTCTCAACAGCTAGAGGGTACCCCATTGTGTGGACCTACCATGGTGTGGTCAACTGGTCTTCTATTGATGGACACTCTGGTTGTTTCTATTCTTGCTATTATTTTATTTTATTTTTTCTTTTAGTAGAAACGGGGCTTCACCATGTTAGCCAGGCTGGTCTCAAACTCCTGACCTCAGGTGATCCACCCGCCTCGGCCTCCCAAAGTGCTGGGATTACAGGCGTGAGCCACCGCACCTGGCTCTTGCTATTATTTTAAATATGGCTGCAATGGATAGGCTCCTGACATAATCTTTAGCAATTTTTATATCACTACGTCTTTGGGATTGATCCCTAGATGTACCATTGCTGCTTAAAAGGTGAAAACACAGGGTGTCTTGCTCATTACTGTCAAATACCTCTTCAAGAAGGATGGACCGTTTGCCTTTTCCCCATCAATATCGGAGAGAGAAAGTTTTCCCAGCATCTCACCAGTAGTATTGCCAGATTTTTGAATTCGCCCATCTGATAGGAGATAAATGACATATTAGTGCATATGTTAACTTGCATTTCCCTTCATATGTGCAAGGTCGCACATCTTTTCCATATGGTTAAGAGAAATTCCTGTTTTCTTTATTCTTATGGACTTTTAGTTTACAGTTTTGGCCCAGTTAGTATAGGGGCCTTGGCATTTTCTCCTTTCCAAGAAAAGTTCTTTGTATCTTAGGGATATATTAGGACATTTACCTTTTCTTCTGATATAAGTCGTAAATCATTTATCCTGTTTGTCATGAATCATTTTACCTCATTGATAGTGTTTTGTTTCATTGTTTGCCATGCAAAAGCAGTTTATGTTTCCTTAATAAACTTTATCAACATTTTGCCTTATACCTTCTGGGTTTTTAGACATAGCTAGGAAAGATTTCCCACTCTAAATGTAGAGAAGATTGTCTCCTGTCACACTGTAAACTCCGGTCCACTTGAAATGTATCCTAGTGTATGGTGTGAGGAAGAGATCCCATTTTTCCAATACCACTCGTTAAAAAGTTGCCCCATGGGAGTGATATCAGCATGACAGCAGTCAAGAAAGCTACAGGCCCTCCTTCCCTGATAGAGACATTAGGTTAACAACATTATATAAATCTAAGTACCTCTGTGAGAATTGTAGAGATCACTGGACAAGCTACAGCACATTGGCCCTTGTAAAACCAAGAAGGGATTCCAGTGACAAGGGTAGGAAAAATCCCAGCATTCAGCATACCCCTTGTGCCCCTCCCTCT